TAGAGCAGCTAAGGTCGATTGGTTAATAACTGCTCATCAGCTTCGCCCTTATGTATGCATGGCAAATGTTATTTACTATTATTGTGAGCATGATAACACAATAAGCGACAACTTCGCCTTTTCACTTAATATTCGCAGTCTGCGAATACTCATTATATTAGATGTTTTTATATCGATAATTCCTCGACTTTAATATCGGTGTTTTTTCTTCCTAATATGAACGCTGTTACTCAAGCTAAATGATGAAAGTGATGGGCAAATTTGCAAACATTCTAAATCGGGTTTGTAAGTTTTCATTGACTAGAAATGAAGGGCGGGTTTTATGTGGAATTCGCTCATCACTACACTTTTCCAGCCAGACTAAGAGAAACATGTTTCAGGCTCATCGACTACTTAGTAGTTTAAAGATTTTGATTTTCATTCCTTAGTTTGATGCCTTTTTGGACAGAAGCATTTCTTAACAGTTTTTTATATATACTTAAAATATGTAATCACTATTAGCGGGTTGATTAATGATGAAACACAGCGTTGTGATTAAACAGTTAACACATATTTTTCTAAAACAAACGGTCAGTGAAATCCAACTCGGCTGTTTGATGAGCAGGTTGAGAACAGAAAGTCAATTGAACATTTTCCATGTGTCTCTTGGTACCAATATCAGAATAGCTATTAATAAAAGGCCTAAATGTTGTTACATATATACTGTTACGTAATATTGCATTATGGTAGTTCTCAGATTGTAATTCTTATTACGTGTATCTATTAAAACAAAATAAATCTGCCTATATAATGAATAAGGACTTTTATTTCTCAAACATCTGCCTCAAAATCGGGAAGCCCTCTAGTGCCTAAACCAGTGATCGCGTACAAACTGCCTGCACCTGGTTGCCCTTGCAGTTCTTCGGGAGTCAAATACCTCCTTGCAGTGGTTACGAAAAGAACGTCTAGATTAGGCCCGCCCCACGCTACTGACGTGGTAAACTGAGCAGGAATGGGGATTCGTCTGATTAACGTCCTATTGGAAGGGTTAATTTGAATCACTGAGCCTCCAGCGTAAAGAGCCACCCATAGATTACCATCTTCGTCTATGGTCATACCTATAAGCCAGGGGTTTAATAGAGTAGGAAAAATAAACAGTTTGGGAAGGTTTACGTACCATCCGGATACCCTAATCCTTTTCCTTTGGTGCTGAACACGACGGTTTTGTTGGCAATATTTCCAGATTCCGAATAGTAGTCATACTTAACAATTTCTTCGCTGGGTGTATCAATGTAGTACAATTCCGTACCATCCTGGTTCCATGCAATTCCGTTACTAACGCTTACTTTTGGGATCATTACTGTCGGATTAGTCACATTGCCTTTGGTAAATTTGAACAGAGCGGCTGCATTAAGGTCCAGTTTGCCTCGGGATGGCTCATCTCCTATCGTACCTAAAGTTTGCCGGGTATAGGATTCAACAGTGCGTGATGTTTTAATAGCGCAAGGAATTGTTGAGGTATTTGTGGCAAAAAAGGTACTATGATTTATCTACCACATGAAATGACCAATTATGTAGACACTGGAGCATAAGCCATTTTTCAAAAAAACAACCGCAGAAATGTTTGTTGAATACTGAAGATAAAAAAAATCTTTATGGCTTCTGCGGTTTTCTAAATGTTTATGTATTGCAATTTATTCGGCATTAGGAACAGTATTGTGAGATTTTACAGAATGGTATTTTATGAAAGACGACGCTCTCATTTCTCTTTCAAATTTTTTAAGTTCAGCGCTGCTAAATTTGAAAATGCAAAACCTATTTTCCGATCAGTTTAAAAACACATCTTGGTCTATTGTGCTTTTTTCACAGAAGCAGTAAAAACATGTACTTCGTACGTCTCATATGGGACAGTGCTTACTTTATTATAGTAGGCCTGGGTAACTCTGAATTTTTTGTAGTTGGCGCAGTGCTGCGTACTGGCATTGTGCGCCAACCCAACGCAGCGGCACAGTAACTCAGTTCCGTTGCTGGCAAAAAAATTGATTTTTTTGTTAAGTTGTTCTTCGCTTTATTTTAGAGGCCATTTATTAACAATATGTACTTTTAGTTTTTTCAGAATTTCCCAGTTTTAGCACAGTTACTGTTTCTTCTAATCACTCATTTTTCTAATGTTTCACGTAAAAATACTGACAATCTAAGGAAATTTTCCGCGAAAAATTGTAAAATAAATTATATTACAACACGCCTCATTCGTCGTTTCGTAAAAAGTATTAAAATCCTTTTTTAGCTTCAAATTTAGTACAAAAATCAACTAATTTTTGATTAAAAAGCAGAAACAGAATAAAGGCATACAGAATATAACAGTTTATAAAAACTCATCACCCCCAGCCCTCTGAAGACTGTAGAGTTGGTTTAAAAACTCGATTTTAGTTTTCATCGATTTTTTTTTCGCTTTAGTTTATACTCAAAAACGTTCTATTTTATAGAGTTTCACTTAAAAAGATAAATTTATAGCTGAAGGAATTTTACAAAAACCTTTTACAGCGTCGAATGCGGGATAAAAACGAAAATAAGTTTCCCCATTTTTTCCGGAAAATTATTAAGGTTTTCTCCAAAACTTGTGTTTAATCGAAAGCGTAAAAAATCCATTATTTTCTGATGCTTTTCTTCTTTTGCGACAACCATGGGGCCTTTTCAGCCAAAAACGGCACCATTAATTTAGTTAAAAAATTGGTCTCATGCATCGCTTTGCAGGATATTTTAGAAAGCCCTTTTGAGCTTCGAATTTGGCACAAAAACCAAATAATTGTATTTACTTTTTTCCCAAAGTAAATAAGATTATCTTGAAAAACCGACCAGAGCAACAGTTTGCAAAAAAATATTTGGAAAATTCGCTACCCTCATCGCTCTAAAGTATTTTAAAGTTTATTTAAAATTTCGGGTCTTTCCAGTTTTAGCAAAGTTTTTCTTGCTCAGCACGCAAACACTGACAATATTCAGGTATTTTCTGTGACCAATTATCAAATACATTCTATTGGAACACGAGATTTTTTAAAAACTTTTGTAGCTTCGAATTTTGGACAAAACCCTAATAATTTTTTCTGGATTTTTCTCAAAAACATTTTTCCGAAGAGAACAAGCGAAACTTTATAATCAGCTATTTGGAAAATTCGCCAACTTAATCGCTGTGAATAATTTAACTATTTTTAATTCCGGTTTCTTCACTTTCAGTCAGAGAAGGCAAAAGTTTCTTCAAAATTTCCGACTTTTCTCGTTTTAAACCAAAAACCAGAAAAGCGCATTTTTAAGCAATCGTTTCTACAGAAAAGGTAACTCAGTGAATTTTTAGGTGTTGGAGCAGTGCTGCGCAAATGGCTTGGTACTCAGTAACTCAGAGCCGTTGCTGGAAAAACGATACTCTTTCATCTTTAATCCGCTGTAATAAATTAGTTATGACTCATTCACCGATGAGTTATAACTCATTAACTCAGAGAAGGGCATCAACTCAAAAGCGCAACTCAACACAGTGTTACTCAGGCCTACAGTATAGAAAATCTCAAATGTTTTGGTTACAAAAAAAGCTATAAGTGGTTCCTCTGTAGTTCGCCGAGTTTTTGCGATTACTTATAATCAAGTACTTCTGCGCACTGATTCTGGGAATGTGTGAAAATCGTCTTTGATGATTTTTTGTCGATAGCGGTCGAAGATACCACAAAACCTTGAGAGACGTTCGAGTGAAAACGTTTCTAACAAACCGGAAATTTGATTTTGTTATTTAGATTCCACCAGCGGCGCACCGCAATAAAATAGAAAAGTTGAGCCAGTTCCATAAGAAAAATCGAACTGGAGTTTCCACAAAACATGCTTGTTTCTTTGGTTCTGGTTCTCAATATTGAGCTTAATATATCCAAATTGAAAGTCGTCAAATTTCAGCATTAACCTTTTATGTACAGGGCGTTAAACGCTTTAAACATCTTTTTTAATCGATTTTTCTGGTGGTTAACTTACCGATCCAAACTCGCCCCCTGCTATCAGCTTTTCCATCGTTGAACCGATTCTTGGGTTTATCATGTTGCACTGTGTGCAGAATTTCCGGGTCTGCTAATTTGTTATAGAGCGCGATTTTCGCCAAATTCCTGCCCAAGCCGGCCACCAGGACATTGGGGCTATTTTTGTACAGAATTATTGGCGTCAGGTCATGTCCTTTGAAGAAAAACTTTTGTTGGGCCTTTGGTTCAGTTTGCGGTGAATATTCTTACCTGGAAATTCCGCAGCAATATCAGTGGTTTTTTTCTCGAAATCATAAGCCATGACTCTTCCCTTGTGGATATCCACAAACAGCAATTTTCCCAGTCGTCGATCCCATACCGGGGATTCTCCCATTGTAACGGGGTCGCTCACCTGGATGATCGAAGGTCCATCGAATTCCGTCGACATGATGCTTAAAAGAGATTTTTTTATTCCCGCTTCAATAACCAGAACTAATTATCTGAGGCAGCCACTTTGGATGAGATGCGTTAAACAACTGATATTAGGTCATTTCCACTTAAGATTGTTTGTGAAAATTACGCTATAATAAGCGTCGAATGGAAGATTATTTCCCAATTATCTCATTGTTCTAACGGTTCTACATAAAAATGTGTCTTACCCTTGAACCAAACAGGCTAGACTAACAGTAGCCAAAGAGAACCACATTGTTAACATTGGCGAGGATCGACTAAATCTTAACAGTATATTCCGAGCTTAACTTAGCAATCCCACCAACGGTGTTTAGCAACAAAGAGTTATTAATATGTGCCGGTTCTTTGCGGTTAATTACAGGTTTTTGTTTAAAATTTTCTCGGTTTTAGCCTGATTTTCAAAGGAAAAATCGGTGTTTTGTGGTCATGATAAAAAAATAAACAACTATTGGTTCCGTGGCCTCCCAGTAGTTAGGCTCCTTAAACGCCAGTTTTTAAACCCCAAAGGTCACCAAAGGTATTTCCCATTAGCTACAGCTACTACAGAAATAAAACGCTAAATTCGTATAAAAGCCATTTATTTCATCCAATTAGAAGATACTCCTTATCGTGTTCAGCATTGTCATCCAGAAAGCTGAAAAGAAAAAGTGTTTTAACGGGGGGTTTTCGTTATATGAACACTAAGCTGGGTTTAAGTGCTTGACTATGTTCATTTCACGTATTTTGCTTTCAAATCAGTGGGGATTTGGAAGAAAATGGATTCGATAATCCTCAAATATGCTCTAGAAAATTTAGTTGCATTTGGAGTTTACTGGAAGACCAAAATTCTCAACTAGAAGATCAATCCTTGATTTTATTAATCATTAGATTTAGATTTAAAACAATCACAAATCCATCAACCCGGATCAGGCGCGTGAAGCAAACCCAGTAATTATTGGATTAATTCGTATGCAGGATGTGAACGATTTTAAATCATAAACTTACGAACGTCAGCTCTTTCAACAGTCCTTGTTTGTGGATTGTTATTAGTGTTGCTGCTTACAGGCGCGTAGCTGACCACTTCGTTTGATACAGTAGGCGCAAAAAGTTCGTTAGTGTTCAGTATAATTTCAGCGATCAGGTTCTGGAAAGTCCATAAAATTAGTTACCAGTCGCAAAAGGGCCAAAGTTGGTGGAAAGCAGCGCTGGCTAAGACTTACTGCTCTTCTTACACTGTTCACCAAATCAGCAAAGTTCGGAACCAGGCCCTTTTGGTTTAGGTTCGTAACGGCGAAAACACTGCCGGCTGCTGGATACATTTTCCTTTCCGTGTCGGACAGGTGAAACCTGGATGTGGTTACGAAGAGAATGTCCAGGTTTGGGCCGCCCCAAATCACCGAAGTTACATCTCTGGCTGGAATCGGTACCACCTGAAGACAACAGGAAGTTTTCCATTTTCCATTTTCACCGAGTTCCATCTTCGCTCAACAGCCATTAGACGCAACTTTCTTACCTGCAACAGTTGGCCGTTTCTTGGATTGGCTTTGATGACTGATCCGCCATAATACAGGGCGATCCACAAATTGTCGTCCTGATCAATGGTCATGCCATCAGGATTTCCAGTTACATAAGGAAACTTTGTGATGTCCACAGCTATCCTGGGATTGGAAATGTCGCCTTTTTCCTCATCAAAGTCATATTCCACCACCTAAAACCCCAGCCAGTTGATAATGGAAAAACTTCGTTATCTTCCAGCTTACCTTTCGGGTGGGCGAATCGATATAATACATTTTATTGTTGGCTTTGTTCCAGCAAAGTCCGTTGCTGATGTTGACGGGGGCCACTTCCACTTTGGGGCTGATTAGAGTGTCTTTCGTCATTTTGTACAGCATGCCTTGGTTGGCGTCCAATGAACGCGTTTGTGGGTTTTCAAAGCCCATTGTGCCTTAATTCAGCCAAAATTCGCATTTTTCCAGAATAGAACGACGTTTTTAAATGGCTTACCTATCCAGACTCGGCCCTGTTTGTCGGCTTTTCCATCGTTGAATCGACTCTGCGGGAATTGTTGCGAAACGGTAGTTAGTGTCTGGAAAAATGTTTTTAAATTAATACTAATCGAATATTTAAAAGCACCTATTTTAAAACCTGCCATTGCCGCATTGATTTACATTTTTTTATGCTTCTTAGAAAGAAAGTAAAGAAAGAGAAAGTAGAAAATCTGCACGAGATGTAAATTCGGCTCAAACTTGTCAGATTTTATTTTGGGAAACTGCCCAGTTTTCTTTCTAATTTTTCAATTTTTTTAAATATTAGCAGATTTTTTTAAATTTTAACTGATACAGGGTGATTCAAAATTGGGTTTGCCTAATTTTAAGTGCACAGTCTATGAGCCAAAGTAGTAGCCAAAGAAGTTCTTTTGAACATAGTTTTTTTAAACATATATTAATTTTGATTGCAGTTCATGTTAATTCGAACTGTGCTTAGTTTTGAGGTTGAAATTTCTGGTAATATTATTATTGCGACTATTAGTCTTGACCGACTCTTAATTTAACATCCAGATCCTCATTCATCATCAAGTAACATAAAAACGATCACCGACGCGACAACAACTGAAAGACAAAAAAGTTGCCAAATTAAATGGGAAATTCAAATTTTCCAGAACAAAATATCAGTGGCGCTTCTCAAAATATTTTGGGTGTGTATCAGGAATTTAAAAAAAATATAAATCCAAAAATTACAATGCTTTATAGGCTTGCTTTCAATTCATGTTCATTTGAACTATGTTTAGTTTTGCTGCTGCAATTTCTTGTAAAGTAGTTCTTATTATTAGCCTTCTTCAACTCGTGGCTTTGCATTATTAGTCATAATTCATCGTCAAATAGCATGAAAACGATCACAGATACGAAAACATTGCAAGATGTAAAAAAGTTTTCAATGTGAATGGGGAATTCAAATTTTCTAGAACAAAATACCAGTGGCGTTTCGCATTGGGGGAGTATATGAGATCATGCACCCTGAAAAATGTACCCCTTGTAGACTTTCGCAATAATTTCAAATTTTAGATGAATATATCATAAGGGCCAGAAGCTGAGAAAAACCTGGAAAAAATTGCGCATTTTGACCCCCTGTATATAACATAAGCGCAATGTTTCTTTATTTATTTATCTGCAAATTTTCTGCTTTGTTTTTACGCGTAGAATATGTAGAGAATATTAAATTTTAAACCTATTAGTTCTTAAGAACAGTTCAAGAAACTCTTCGTTAAGTATATTAGGTGATTCAAAATTGGCGTCATTCCTTTCAAGGGGTGATAGAGGCTCTCTTGGGGAGTACGAAAAAAATATAGGAAAATTTTTTGCGAAAATTTCTAGAAGATATTAACAGTTGAAGATCGAATTTCAACTTTGTTATTAAGCATTCTTTTGAAAAAATCCCACGTTGGATTGGCAGCCTATTGGAATACTTAAGCATTCAAAAAGAAAAATTACGATCTTTGCTTCAAATTACGAAAATTTTTGATATCAAAAAAGTTCTCTACAATCTTGTTGAGTTTACCGTTTATCCTTGTCTATCTTATTGTCAGTCTGTATAATTCCATGGTTACAGAAGTTTTAAATAATTACGAAGCCACAGGTATTTGCGCAATGTTAATTAGGCAGATTACCTTGAAAAACATTGCTGCCGAATTTCTGATATAGTTTTTTGCAAATTTCTCAGTTTTTAATAACAATTAATTT